ATGTCAAATGCCTCCTCATTCGTTATCGGCATTTTGACAAATAAGCAATCCACAATGAACAGTGAAAACTTCTATTGGAACTTCAATTATATTTTGACGTTTCTTTCATTCAAAGCCAACTTGCCTTTTCTCATTCCTGAGCCTATACTCACTACTTACATTTCAATTAGCTATGTCATTACTATGAATCTCCTTCACTATTGTGAAATATAACAGCAGTTTGTGAAACCAAAATAAATGAATTATTGAAATCATAATTTCATAGATACAGGATATTTTTGATTACGATTATTGAAGTTAGATTCCTGTGGTGAATATTTTCATAATATTATTTCGAGTATTTCACCGGTTCCCCAAGAGGTATCAATTCGCGGTTTTCACCATTTTCCTTCTCGTTTGCTCTACTTTCATATTAGAGTAGAATGAATATATGGTTCCATTTGAAATTTTCGAAAAAAATGGAAAATTGACTGATTTTTCAAACGATGCCATCTAGCGGCTACCACAGGATTTAAATCGACTTGATTCGTGATTCATCTGGAAGAACCAAAGAAACCCTTCATAATGAGACGAAGATCGTTGAATTCCGTTACACCAAACTGTAGTAATGAGAGTTTTTTCAAAGTGATATTCATCCTTCCCTCCCTCTTTTATTTAAAGAGCTAGCGCAATTTTTTTTATCGAAATGTTTGGAAATCAACTCGAGAACATGAAAAAAGTGTTTTTGATTTGTCTTGATATATCAAATTCACATAAAAACCCGTTTATTAAACTGGCCAATGCAATAACGCCCTATAGGGGCTTTCCTGGAAACTTGAAAATAATTTCCAGAGATTTTTGCCTGCTGTGACAGTTGAGAAGTTAACGGGCAAAATTGCAAAGGACGTGAACCAGAGAACGTAAACACTGGAAACTACAGCCATGAATGATCCAAGATGCTAATATGACATATATGATGATGTTACCTGAGTGAACATGATAACAAAAATGTATTGTTGGTTGCATACGAATATGGTGACATGGTGTTTAATCATTGTTGAAGACCCAGTATTTTTCAGGTAAATTGGGATCTAGAAGTACTGTGGTCATTCACATAGTTTTCATTTAGATAATTTGTCATTTCTCTCTAGAATCCTTTCTGCTATAGGACCTGAGTAATAGAGTGGAAATGTCTACAACACATACAACCATATTGTGTGAGCATGTCAGACTAGTCCTCCCGTTCGATTGCACGAATCCAACCGTATTGCCTTATTTTAGAAACTTCACAAATCTTTTTATCAGCTCCTATTGTAGAAGTTCTAAAGAGAAATGACAAATTTTCAAAATGAAAACTATTGTGAGTGACTACAGCACTTTTAGATCACCATTTACCAACGTGAAAAATCGTATTCTTCGTCTCACTGCATTTTTATGTGCATTGTACAACAGCACAATGTGTGTTGATTGATGAAAAGCGCGTTCAGCATATTGAAAATACAAAATGACGTACTATTGTGTAAGAAAACACGACAGCTAATTTATTAATGGAAATAAAGACATTTATAGAAATCCCGATTTATTAGATAAAGCAAATATATCTATTAAAAATATCAGTTTAAAGACAATGATTCCGCAGTTATCCCCACCATTCAGTATTCCATTCATTTATTCGTGTTTGTCGTTTAGGATTGTGTTATACTTTTTAATAATTTATTAATTGTACGGAATTTCTATCTATTGTTATTTAGTCTGGATCTGACTCTGAGCTCTAAATCTTGAAATAATTAGGTATCATCCTATTGATACCTGATATCGACAATCACTTTCGTTGGTTGTTTCGAGAGTGCCTCGAACATCTCATTAAACGCTCTTTAAAGAATAAGGACATGCTTGTCATATGTTGTTAAACATCTGAACAGTAAACAAATATGTTGTAAAAGAGATGGAATTTAATTTTTCTGTACGACTTCATTGAACGACTTATTATTTCGAACCCTTACAGTGGCGTAACACCCAAGGCACTTTTTTATCTCTTGGAGAGCACGAAAGGAAATTCCTTCGCCGTTCTATAGACAAACAAGTTTTCGTAGACTGTTGTGCGACATTTTTCAAGGTTAACGACGAAAATGTGCTGACTGGGCCTATCTAGTTTGGCTGACTAGTATTGCTGGTGATGGAATTATAGCAGAGATTTCTGAGGAACGTTTCCGGTGGAAGTATCTATAGAAAAGCTCATTTTGTAGGTATCAATATATCAATGTATGTTCAAGGAATGAATATTGGAATTTGAGGCTTTATCAAACACTTGAAATTTCTTTTCATCTTTGGGCAACTCAAAAAAATGGTAACCATCATTCTTGGAATTTTCGCATTTCGTTGCCGAACAACACATTCAAAAACATTTCCGAGGGTACATCTATTGAATTTTCTGAACTGACCATTTGAATCTGAGAATGATGAGAATTCAGAAATGTCAGTGGTGACAAGCGTGTCCTCATTCTTAAAACGGCGTGAAATGAGATGTTCGAGGCACTCTAGTTAAAGTTCTGGAGAATAAACTGGGCGTCAATTGAAACGTTAATAGTGGAATTTGGCATCAAGTTTGACTTCTCGTAATTTCTAAAATATTGAACGAATTTTGAATTGCCGCCCAGATTCTGAATGCCTTTTTCATCGTCTTTCGAACCGTTCCTTACAGCTTCTTCTAAATTGATCAGGACCCGTGATACAGGGTGAAACAAAGTTTCGTGCATTTTGAAAAAAATTTCTCCGCCCCCCCATTTTGTCGGAAGACCACGATGCTCATATTTTATTCGGGCATTTCATAAATAGCAACCATACCTCGGGACGTTTTCGAGTTTTTGTCAAAAACTACTGTGGTTTCCGAAAAAAAAATTTTTTTTGCATTTTTTTTAAATGGACTAATTTCAGAGAAGTTCCAT